ATTCGCCAGCCAGCATGAGGCCATCAATGGGCAGCTGACTACAGAATAGAAGTGACCTCTGGGGACCTCACAGAAGATCCACCACCTAGGTGAAGGGATAGAGTTGTGAACAGCATGGAACTGCAAAGCCTGTGTTATAACAGGGTTAGAGAGCTCATGCAAGGGCAAAGTAGAGGTTATACATTGTGAACTTTTAAAAAAAATTTAAATAATTTATTTGAAAGTCAGAGTTGCAGAGAGAGAGAGGTCTTGCATCTGCTGCTTCACTGCCTGATTGGCCACAGTACCTGGAGCTATGCTGATCCAAAGAGCCATGAGCTTCTTCCAGCTCTCCCACGTGGGTGCAGGGACCCAAGGACTTGGGCCACCTTCTACTGCCTTCCCAGGCCATAGCAGAGAGCTGGATCAGATTTGGAGCACCTGGGTCTCAAACCGGCATCCATATGAGATGCTGACAACTGCAGGTGGTGACTTAACCTGCTACACCGCAGCACCGGCCCGACATGTCTCTTAAAGATTTATTTATGGGAAGTCATATTTACACAGAGAGAAGGAGAGACAGAGATGGAGAAAGAGAGAAAGAGAGTGGGAGAGATCTTCCATCTGCTGGTTCACTCCCCAGATGGCTACAGTGGCACGGGCTGGACCAGGCTGAAGTCAGGAGCTTCATCTAGGTCTCACACATGGCCCCAAGTACTTGGGCCACCTTCCACTGCTTTTTCCAGTCCATTACTGGGAAATTGTATCAGAAGTGGAACAGCCAGGACATGAGCCAGCATGCATATGGGATGCCAGAGCCGCAAGCAATGTCTTTACCCACTCCACCACAACACTGGCCCTGTATTGGCATATGTTAAAATGATAGCTCAAACACAAGACTGTTTCTTTAGGAAGAGAATTAAATCTTCATTATAACTGATTGTTATTGTATGTAACCTATGGCACCTGCATCCCATGTGGGCACCAGATCCAGCTCCAGCTGCTCCACTTCTGATCAAGCTCCCTGCTGATGCACCTGGGAAAGCAGCAGAGGGTGGCCCAAGTCCTTGGGCCCCTTCACCCACATGGGAAACCTGGAAGAAGCTTCTGGTTCCTAGTTTCCCGTCGGCTCAGCTCTGGCCATTGCAGCCATTTGTGGAGTGAACAAGTGGATGGAAGAACTCTGTCTTTCTCTCTCTCAGTAACTCTGCCTCTCAAGTAAATAAATAAATCTTAAAAAAAAAAAAGAAGAAAGACCCTGAACCAACAAAATGAAGGGCCTTTGCCCAGGTTCACATTACACAGGTGGATTGTGATTATGGGTTTTTAAGGCAGCCACATGGACATTGTGAACTATGAGATTTTACATTCCATTCCTATTTAGACTATTAAAGACTTTGGTCTGACAGACCCTTACCTCCATTGCCAAAGTTTCATTTATTCATTCAACAAATACTGATTGAGCTTGTCCTGTGTGCCTGTCACCATAGGTAGAGGGGATATAGCAATGAAGAAAACAGACCAAAATCTGTTTTTCAAAGGTCTGTTTCATGGGGCTGGCCTTTGGTGTAGTGGGTAAAGCCACTGCCTGCAGTGTTGGTATCCCATATGAGCTTGGGTTCAAGTCCTGGCTGCTCTACTTCTGACCCAGCTCTCTGCTATGGCCTGGGAAAGCAGTGGAAGCTGACCCAAGTCCTTGGGCCCCTGCACCTGTGTGGGACACCTGGCAGAACATCCTGGATCCTGGCTTCGGATTGGCTCAGCTCTGGCCATTGGGGCCATCTGGGGGGTGAACCCATGGATAGAAGACCTCTCTCTATTTCTGCCTCTGCTTCTCTGTAATTCTGCCTTTCATATAAATAAATATTTCTTTCAAAAATATTTTTATTTATTTGAAAGTCAGAGTCATGGAGAGGGAGAAGGAGAGGTCTTTATCTGCTGTTCAGTCCCCAGCTGGCCGCAACAGATGGAGCTGAGCCAAATGGAAGCGAGGAGCCAGAAATTTTTCTGGGTTTCCCATGGAGGTGCAGGGTCCCAAGGACTTGGACCATCCTCTACTGCTTTCCCAGGTGCATTAGGAGGGAGCTGGATTGCAAGTGGAGCAGCTGGGACTCAAGCCAACACTCTTATGGGACACCAGCACAGCAGGTCAGGGCTTTAACCCAGTGCACCACAGAATCAGCCCCTGACCAAAATCTTTTATGTCCTAGTGAAGAGATAGATTACAACAAGTGAAGCATTTAGAATGCCAGAAGGTTGGAAGTGCGAGGAGAAAAGTGAAGAGGGAGAGAGGCAAGCTGTGTCCTGCGTCTTTAAGTGAGGCTGTCCGAGCAGCCATCTTGGAGAGAGGATATTGGAACAGTGACCTCAGGGAAGGGTGAGGACCTCATACAGAATGTTCACTACTTAAAAGACTCACGCTTCTCCTAGAGCTGTGTTTGCCAGCTACATAACCAGTTGGCGCTGAGTATGTGATACAGTCTTCATTAAGGTTATATAAAATTAATACTAGCAACTGAAGCAGTAGCAGTAGCCATAGCACAGAGAGCAAAGTGATTGCTGTGTGTAGAGTGTTGGGAGAGTGTTTCCCAGGGCTTAATTCACATCGTGTCCCTCTCAGAGCCTCGCCATGGACTTTGCTGTGGGAACAGGTTTCCTCTGGGTAAGGTGTCCACATAGTACCAGACTCAAATGTGACCCAGGGAAGAGGAAGCCTCCCTCCCATCCTGCCCGACTCACCCAATGGCATTCTTAGAAGGATCTGTTTCACCTGCTTGAGACTTTTCTTCTAGAATGTTTGTAAATAAACTTGAAAAACCCACAAGCAGATAAGGCCCACAATAACAGGGTATATTTAATTGTTTTTTTTAAAAGGTTTATTTATTTATTTATTTGAAAGTCAGAGTTACACAGAGAGAGAAGGAGAAGCAGAGAGAGAGAGGCCTTTCATCCACTGGTTCACTCCCCAGTTGGCCACAATAGCCAGAGCTGCGCCAATCCAAAGCCAGGAGCCATGAACTTCTTCCAGGCCTGCCTTCCAGATCCAGCGGCCCAAGGATTTGGGCCATCTTCTGTTACTTTCCCAGGCCATAGCAGAGAGCTGGATCAGAAGTGGAGCAACCGGAACTCAAACCGGCACCCATATGGGATGCTGGCACTGCAGGTGGTGGCCTTACCCACTAAGTCACAGCACACCCCCCCCCTTTTAGATCTTCACCAACACAGT